GTGGCCTGGGAGTGGCTCAACTTGTTGGAGATCAGAGGCCGAGGGAGAGAACAGTGATTGTGGGGCCACTGTGGGAGTGAAAAATATGAGGAAGGAAGGTAGAGGTAGAGGGAGAGACCTACAGGTGGAAGAAAGGAAAAAGCTGAGGATGAATCATAACAATGGAAACGCAGTGCTAGTATGCCTAATTCTAATTGTTTTCTATAAAAATGCCATAACATTACAGTAAGCACACACACATCTGGCTTTAGATATTGGGGTATAATAGCATGTGTATTTAAGTGTGGAGAGACCTGATTATACTGTGGCGCTTAGTGTTTCTAAGTAGGAGAGGGCAATAACCAGCTTTGGTTTTATGCTTTTACAGTGCTGATAGAGGTTTGTGTCTAAGAAATAGAAAGACTGGTGGCTTGTAGTGAGTTGATATTTTAACCTTTCTTGCTTCTGACAGATTACACTGGGACAGAATTCTAGATAGGTTGGCTTTTCTGTCCTAAAACATTTATTACATCATCTGGAGTTTACTGCATTTTAAGAGTGTGCAAAATATTCCAGTGGTATTCCCACCAGATCTCCCACCAACCACCCACTTGTTTCATTTACATCGCTAACATTCACCCTCCTGGCCAAGTCTAAAGATTGTCATGCATGGTCTTGTAATACATTAAATCACAACTGGGAGTGACATGGCAGGGGATGGGGTTTTGCACATGGGGACACTGCTCATTGTGATGACTTTGTGTATCAAACTGGCTTGGATATAGCTTGCAAACTATCAAGTTCCTGACTCCAAATTTATTAGAACGTAAGAATGGTCTGACCCAGAATGGCCAATGGTCCATCTAGCCCAGTATCATGTCTTCCGACAGTGGCCAATGCCAGCTGCTTCAGTGGGAATGAACAGAACAGGGGCAATTGAGTGATCCATCTCCTGTTGTCCACTCCCAGCTTCTGACAGTCAGAGGTTTAGGAACACCCAAAGCATGGGGTTGCAGCTCTATCTTGGCTAATAGCCATTGATGGACCTATCCTCCATGAACTTATCTAGTTCTTTTTTGAACCCCTTTATAGTTTTGGCTTTCACAGCATCCCCTGGCCAACAAGTTGACTGTGTTTTGTGTGAAGCAGTACTTCTTTATGTTTGTTTTTTAAACCTGCTGCCTGTTAATTTCATTGGGTGACTCGGGTTCGTGTGTCACAAAGGGGTAAATAACACTTCCTTATTCACTTTCTCAATGCCATTCATGATTTTATAGAACTCTATCATACTCCCCCTTAATTTTCTCTCTTCTAAGATGAACAGTTCCCAGTCTTTTTAATCTCTTCTTATATGGAAGCTGTTCCATACCCCTAATCATTGTTGTTGCCCTTCTCTGTCCTTTTTCCAGTTCGAACATATATTTTTTTGAGATGGGGTGATCAGAACTGTACGTAGCATTCAAGATGTGGGCGTACCATGGATTTATAGTGGCATTATGAGAACTTGTCTTCTTATCAATCACTTTCTTAATGGTTCCTAACATTCTGTTAACTTTTTTGACTGCTTCTGAACATTGAATGGATGTGTTCAGAGAACTATCCACAATGACTTCAAGATCTCTCTTTTTGAATGGTAACAGCTAATTTAGACCCCATCATTTTGTGTGTGTGGTTTGGATTATGTTTTCCAATGTGCATTACTTTGCGTTAATCAACATTGAATTTCATCTGCCATTCTGTTGCCTAGTCACCCAGTTTTGAGAGACCCCTTTGTAACTCTTCGCAGTCAGCTTTGGACTTACAAAACTTACTCAAGATAGGTATCATCTGTAAACTTTGCCACTTCCCTGTTACCCATTTTTCCAGATCATTTATGAATATGTTGAACAGATCCTTGGGGAACCCCACTATTTCTCTCCACTGTGAAAATTGGCAATTTATTCCACCTTTTGTTTCCTATCTTTTAACCAGTTACTGCTCCATGAGAGGATCTTCCCTCTTAAGGAAAGTAAGCATTCATGGGATAAAAGCCTGTGGTGAGGGAGCTTGTCAAAGGCTTTCGGAAAGTCCCAGTATACTGTATCTAAGGCTGCAATGTAGTCACGGAATCTGTGAGTTCCAAAGAGCTCTGTGACTTCAGCCAGTGTCGGCTGGGAGCTGCAGGGTCCCTGCCGCCTGCGGAGGCAGCAACCTGTGGGGTAGCCCCGCAGCCCCCGGCCACCGTGGGTGGCAGGGGGGAGCCCCACAGCTCCCCAGCTGTTCCTAGCCACCAGGAGTGGCAGGGGGAACCCCCGCTGCTCACTGCCACCCCGGGCGGTGGGAGGGACCCGATGGTTGGGGCAGTCCCTGCTGCTCCCATGCAACACAGGTGGCCATGGGGTATTCACCGAGCTCCCGGCCACTGCTGGTGGCAAGAGGGACTCCTAATGCTCCCAGCCACTGCGGGCAGCATGGGGGATCCCTGTCACCGCAGGTGGCAAGAGAGACCCCTGGAGCTCCCAGCTGCTACGGGCGGCAGGGAGGACCCCAGCAGCTCCCAGCCACAGCAGAGGGCACCCTGGAGCTCCCAGCCCCTTCTCTCCCCTCCCCTCCCCTCCCGGGCTACCCATTTTGTCATGGTTATTTTTATTAAAAGTCAAGGACAAGTCACAGGCTTCTGTGAATTTTTCATTATTGCTCGTGACCTGTCGATGACTTTTACTAAAAATATCTGTAAAAAAAACTTAGCCTTAACTACATCCACTGGATCACCCTTGTTCACATGTTATGTGACCAATGATGCTGGATTGTTAAATGTTACCTGAGTAATTCTCTTTTTTCTCTCTCATGGTTCAGCTTCAGAAAAACAGCTGCAAGGTGGAAATAATAATATTGGGTATTTTTTATTATGTGGTAGATATTAGAATTTGATGGGTATAAGATATTCTTTCCAAGACACAATTAATATTATCCAGGTGTTTGAATGACTCTGAAAACAGTAGCACCACTACATCTTGTGTATGAAAGCTGCTCAGCCTATAGCTACTAGGTAGACTGTGAGCATTTTCAGTTTATTCAGTGCAGATAGATGTAGATGAGGGAAATGGGTATAAGTGTCACTTATATACACCTATTTAGGGCTGAATGGTTTGTTCTTGTGAAACCAGGGGATCAACTTGTCCTTTTTGGTTTTCCTAATAATGAACAGGCTCTGGTAATCGGTCTGTTTTGGAGATTCATAGCTCTTTTCTGAGTTTAGTAAAATTACAAACTTTATGATGGTAAGATTTAAGTTTATAGGCTTAGTGATTAGTCTCTAATTCTAAAATATGCTGCCAACATGTGTCTTTCGAGAAATTCAATTGCTTGAATTATTGTTAAAATGCCTGTATGGAATAGGCTATAAAAACAATGTCTGCAGGGAATGGCTGGCCTGTGCAGGTAAACCTTGAAGAAACTTTTATATGTAATTCTTATTCGAGTAGACGACTCTTCTCGCCTCTTCCTATTTCCATCATAAAAATATCTCACCACAGCCTCAGTCCTGTAATCTTATCTATATGAATGCATTCTTGTGCCCAGGCAGACCCTAATGACTTAGAAATGGGACTCTGGTTGTAAGGATCTTCCTATAAAGATCAAGTGGCAGGACTGGATCCCCTATTTCCTCTGTGCTGTACAAGACAAATGAACAGGGCTTTATAAGCCACTGCCATGATTACTTGTAGTTTTCTTTTAAGACTAATTACAGAAAAATGTTGAACTTTGGCTGGCCCTAGTACCTAATCACTGGGATAAGCTGCAGGGACAGCTGGTTTCTATGCTGGGCACTCTCTTTATTCTCGTTGGCAATTATATCCATCATGACAATGAGCAAGTTCATGCCAACTGAAATCAGGCACGAGTGAGAGTCTGCTTTGCCTGTGCAGAGGAAACGGCCTGAGAAATTTTCATGTCCTAGTAAACGTATCGGCATACACTAGAATTCACTGAAGTTCTTCTGAGTCTTGGTATTGGTGCTTTCAAAGCCAGGGGCAGAGACACCCACTAACCAGTCAGATAGAGGGGCAATGCTGTAGTGAGAAGCGCATCTCCCCTTCGTCCCTCCCCTACCCCGGCCCGCTGTCGAGAGAGGTGCTGGGATTTCTACCAGAGTGCTCTCCATGAACCTTGCTTGAGGCTGTATTAGCTTTTGCCTAGTATAGCACTTCCTCTTTTGAAAGCTGAACAGCCCCCACCATGGGTTTGTATCTATCCAGCTGGTAGCCCTTGAACATTCTCTGTCCCACACTGGATACTGCTGGCCTAGGAGGTGTTTGATAGATTTATAACCCTCTTCTGGATAGTCGGAAAGAAGAGCAACCACTTCCTTCCTCATTTCCCTATCTCCAGCGTTGTCCTGCCTGTTGAGGATAGAAGTCTCTGCTACTCCCATGCCAGCCTGCTTGGTGGTGCTTCTCTATTTCCCTAAGCTTTTTATTTTACAGTGGCCTTCCTTCCTCAGGAATACTCCCAGTGATTGCCTCTATACATAGTTTTCTTGAGCAACAGCAAAGTGACACTGATATTGTCAGAGTCCCTCCTGTCCTCTGAAGAGCAGCAGTGAAAACTAGGGTCTTGTTAGCTTTCCTGAGCAGCAGCAGAGCCACTGCAATTAACTTGTATTTATTTACAGAATCAGGAAAAGAGCACCACATCAGTTTGTGTTTGGCAGGCTACCTCTGTAATGGATCAGGGCTGGGAAATGAATATTAAAAAACAAAACAAAACTCTGCAGTCACTAGACGGCTTACAATTCACTTCTCACAACTGGCAATTGAACTTTTCAAGGCCTGCTTGATGAGTCCAAAAAAAAGTTGTATTAACTGTAATAGATGGATCTTACTAATGAAAACAACTATAAATCTCTGTGCTGGCATGTGCAAAATGTTTCTCTTATAACCTGCTATGGTGAATTAAGCTTCCAATTGTAGCTCTGTTGTTCAATATTAAGCATGATGTAATTTCTTAAACTGAAATTATACAAAACATTATTTTGACAGATCTCTGTAGATGTGAGGAGGCACAAAAGGGACAGTTTATTCTTTTGAAGTTGCTGGAACTGCTTGCAGTAAGAAATAAAAGCTGTGCGTCAATCAAGAAAACTATTTCAATTGTTCAGAACATGCTGCTAAACTAACCTTTGCAGCTACATTTTTAGACGTACCATGGGATGCATCAAGTCCAAGAACGCTTTTCCAGGCTCAAACACTATCCTGGATGAGAGGAGCAGGGAAGGTGGTGAAGGATGCAATGGGGAGAAATCTTCACTGATTACAGTGAAGCTGGATGAGAGAGGCTCATCAAGTACCATAGTGCTGGATTATGCGCACCGGCTCTCTCATGAAATTCTTGATCAGGCTGTGAAACAATGGGCAGTGACTGAAAGCAAATATAGTGACATTCCTTTCATCGAAAGTGATGTGCCCTGAATTCCGAGGATTATCTTCTCAATAAGCCTCCATCTGTCTGTTAAACAATTCACGTTTGGTGCTATTGCAAATAAATAAGTTCAAGAAGCAGCAGCTGTGATTTAAGCATAACTCCAACTACAGTACTGTGTCTGGAAGGTCGGGGGAGCATAAAATCTCCTTTTATTCACAAGCAACTGGACCACAGCAGAATCCATTAATCCGTCAGTTGTGATCCACTGTAGGTTGAGAGTGTTCTGTCTGCTTTGTATGTGCTGAGTCTGGTCATAATGAATGTCAGGAAAATGGGTGTGCAAAACTGCTGCAACTGTAATCACCACCCAGTGGTCACAGCAACATCAGCACCAAAGATCCTTAAGGATAAGGTACAAACTGTCTTTTTTTAATGTGCTGCATAAAAGCTGTTGTAACAATAGATTACTTTACAAACGTGTAAGCCTTGCATCTGCCTATGATCTTACGTGAGAAATTGCACGTATGATAAAATGCTCTAACTTCTGTTAAATGGGAATCAGGATTATAGAGCTATAGCATAATAATTGGAATGGGTTCCATCAGAAATTTACCTTTGATCTTTTAGGATGACCTGACTAAATGTGTGAACTGCTAATTGACTGTTAAGCCAAGGCAATGTGCTTTGTAACAGTGAAAAGTAGCAAACCAACCATATGGATTATGCTGCCATTAAATCTGCCCTTCTTAAACACATCAATAGGAAACGCATTAAAGGCACTGATAACCTAATTATCCTGATGAACCATTTAACTGATGCCTTGGCCTCTGCAAACTAGGTGAAGGGTATTGACTAATCCCTAAAAGCATAAATTAAGGTTGTTAATAACATTCATTGCTGTAGCAATCAGTTACACATGATTACTATACTCAGACCAAAGAGATTTAGTTTAGCCAGGAAGGTGAGGGAAAATAAATATGCCCCTAAAGGTTCATTTTATTAATCAGTATAACTGTGAATGGCTGAGAACATCTCATCTAAATATGATGCTGCCTTATACTGAAATACCACTGACAGGATGCCATTTGGGGCAGCAGGCCTTTCTCATGCTACTGTCCATCTCTTTTATCTGTTAGTTGAATTGTGAGTCTGAATAAATGATGATTAAATGCCCTGGGTCCAAACCGTATTAGAGCCGAAGGGCTAAAGCATTAAGGGAACGTATTTTTTTTAAACTAGTCTAGACAATGTGCCCTTGTTCAACAGGATTTGTAGTCTGGCCCATCCAAACCACAGCTGGGATCTTGTAGGTTAAGCAGGAGGGGCAATGATGGATTCTGAGGACGGGCATTTGCAATATGTTACCTAAAGCCAATGAGCATAGTTTTGCACTCAAAAACAATATTCAGCTGCATGCCTTTTAGGAGCTTGGGTTCTTTGCATTTGTTTCCTCCTCCATCAAAATCCATTGTCAGTAATAAAAATGCCTAGATAAGGCAGTCAATAAAGTAGGTGCATATTTCCATTCATTCCACTGTAATTTAACAGGCAAATAATGGGTTTGCAATTTTTAAAATAAAAAACAGCTTTTCGAGGCAAGTTAAAGGCATTTGTGAAAATTTATTAAATGATACAAAAAATGATAGTTTGAGTAATGTTTTTGGGAATTAGAATGGTCATCTCTTGCTGCTGCTACGATTGAGCCACTATCTGTCCATGTAGAAGAGAGAGAAAATATGGACGTTTATGAAGCTGAAGCAAATTGAAAAAGGAGACATAAGTTATTTTGGGTTAGTGTATAGAGGTAAATGACAATTTACCAGGAGTAAATTTCATAAATGAAGAGTAGTTTCCAATAATGCTGCCCAAGACTGACTTGAAATACAGGTCTCTTATTCACACTGAAGTTAATTCCATAGATCTCACTCGGCTGCTATTTAGAATATTTTCCCAAGCCCTTGAAGAAAAGGAAAAACAATTTGGATCCAGTCTATTGAATACTGTCGTCTTCTCTATATCTGTATTTTCAAATGGGCCATTGTGTTAATAGACAAAGCCTGTGATACACCATGTCCAATCTAAATCCCATCACTATAACTGAATTGCCCGGAAGTTACACTGAGTATAGTACATTCAGTCATGCTCTACAGGTACCCTCATTAAAAAAGGTGATTCCAAACATGAAGTGAATTTAAAAAAGAAATGGAATAATCAGCCAGAAAAAAATGAATCCTGTCTTAATTTACTGTTTGATTAATCAGTCTAAAAAGGGAATCTCTTCCTATATAAGAAAGAGAAAAGGTAGGAAAACAAATCTTTCCCTCACCTAGCATCAGATCACTTGTGGTATGGTACAGCAAAATATAATTTGTCCCATTGCTGACAGTGATTTTTTTGTTTTTAAATCACTATCAACTGAACTGCATAGACATTGCTTCTGTGCATCTTCTATTCAAATGACATTTCCCCATGATTTATTTTAAAATACACTTAGCTGTAATCTGAAATTAACAGCACTACAGTTTAAGGAGTAGGAGGCTGGATTTCATATTACACTTCAAATCCAATTCAGGACGACTAGATGAAGCTTGTGTTGTAGTAAAACCTTATTCCTATGTCAAAAGAAACCTCTTAACACCATTAGTCGCATGTTAAGCATTGGTTAGGAAATGCCAAGGAATGAGCTACATTAGATATTAAACTGAATTCCAATTGCAGCACTGTTCCCTTTTTTGCAGAGATGTTGGCAATAAAGTGTCAGTTTAACAAAGTTTGGGAAAAGGCTGCCTATACAGATCTGTAGTTAAGTACATTCTTTTCATTTCCTGCTCAAGTAGCTGCACTATTTGTTACTAAAATGCTCTAGTTAATGATGTCCTCATTTACAAATTAGTATATACGAGTTATTTCTCTTCTTCCAGTGCCCCCCTACTGCTCTTTGTGTGCAGACAAGGGGGAAGGAGGCTTCTTTCTAGGAGCCTGACTGCTCTCTATAAGCTACAGAGAGAGAGAGTTCCAGGCACTTGAATGCTCAGCTGTTTTACTGGGCTTCTTAGTCAATAAGCTTATCTATAAAAGCAGATAAATTATGTCTACACCCATAATTGGAAAGGCCAAATGGCTTAAGGAGTGAGGTGATGGAAGGAGTAGCTCATGGGCTATTCTGACTCCACCCAGTTGGGTCCACCTGATTCTTGGCGACTGTGAACAGGCTTCAGTGAGAAAGGGTTGTTTTGTTTTTAAAGGCTGGGAGATGAGGCACCAGTAGGCACAACAGAGCAAGTTGACAATGCACTCCCACTGCTGAAGTCACTGCTAAAAGGGAGCAGGGAAGGAGGAAGGAAGGGTGGGCAAGAGGAACAGACTGCCTCCTTCCTTTTCTGTATTGGCTGGAGGGTCTGGCACTTCCCAGCGCTGGGATAGTAGATACACAGCTTGAAAGCAGCTTCTCTGTCAGGAGCGTGGCTTTGTTTTGTTTATGGCTGAATTGCACCTTTCCCTGCACAAGACACCTGGGCATTAGACTTGTAGCTGAATCACAGCTCCCACAACCATCCATCAGAAAGCATGTTAAATGCACAAGAATCAAAGGAGAAAATTACCCAGCTGAAGGTAAACAGTGTATGACAGACAGAGCTAGCGGAATACTTAGCATCTGTAAAGTTATGAACTACACTCTACCTACAAATACCACCTACAATAGGCCCCCTACTAAAATTGTCTCCTACTGCTAATCCTTTCCATATCTGAATCTCCTACCTGTGACTTCCAAACCTGTTCTCCTCTCCTACTTCCTGACAATTCACAGCGCTCTCAAACAACCCAGAGTGCTACTCTAGCAGTGTCTGATAGGAACAACGCTTTCTAAGACATTAGCTCTTCAGGCAAGCACAGAGCAGATGGAAAATAGGCTCAGGAGCACTAGGGACAGCCGTGTACATAGCTGCATAGCAGGAAAACAATTTGACTTTTTAGCCATTTAAGTTTTGTAGGACACTGACCTTTGCAAATGATGCCTGTATCCTTAAGACCATAGGACAGTATTCTACAGTAACCTCCCAGAATTTTGCAGTATTTTTGGTAAGGATATTGCTACTGTCCTTCACAATAAAGATAAAGACCTTTACCTAACTGATATCTTAAATGAAATTACACAATAGCCACTCAATATTAGTTTGATTTTAATGGTAGTATAATTTTTATGATAGAGATGCAACAGTGGCTCTACAACAAAAGTTGCAACTAGTTTTTTCCTTTGAGATTGTATATTGAAGGACTTGCATGACAGGCACACATGTTTTGGAAAAACATTTACGGATTCTTTTTCATTAGTTATACTATACGTTATACAATGTCCATGCGACTGTCCACAAAACAGTGACAATTGTATCTCGCTAATGCATGTTATCTGCCTTGCTTGATGCTCTACTTTTGGTTCAAAAACTAACTACAGCACAACTTTGTAAAACTGACATTTCAGCAGCATGACAGAGCTGGATCCGAACTCTAGTATGACCATATATTTTTACAATATTTTTGTGAAAACATTTTCTTAACTGAATAAAATTAAGTTGTAATTAATTGCTTGTAAGGTTTTTATTTGATTAAAACACACATTACATCCCGTTCTGAGTATATTAATTTATATATATAAAATCTTGCAATGCCAGCAGTGTGCTATGTACTTTGCAAGCAGAGACAGCATGATTCCTGCCTCAAGGAGCTCAAAATCTTGGCCTCGTTTATTAAACACACAATAGATGACTTTACATTTTGC